CCCCCCCCCCCCGAGCACTATAGATCGCAATATAGATAGTGGAAATAAATTTCTGCTTAAGCTCCGTCAGAAATATAAAATTCCATATAGATCCACGTAGTCGAGTCCACGTAACACGCCGAGAGGAACAATTCTGAGACTTGAATAAATCATACCGTTTCCTCGTCAGGTAACAAAATATCAAAGATCTCGCCAGATAATTGGCGCGGCCTCGAGAATTCGCTGCAAAAGCTGCGACTGGGACGGAACGCGATCGACAAACTTCCGGCGGACGCGTTCGCTGGCCTCACTTACCTGGACATGTTGGATCTACGCGAAAATAATCTGAAGGAGATCGATCCTTCCGTGTTCAGGGACGGCATGGCGCATTTAATATACCTGTACCTGAATGGAAATCAACTAACTCACATTCCGTACGCGCAACTGTCCTCTCTGAAGCGTATGAAAGTGTTGGATCTCAGTTACAACAGGATATCGAAGATGTTGAACCAGCAACAGGAACCGGAGATCAGGGGATTGCAGATGTCTCTGGACATACTGCGATTGGATAATAATCAGATCGAGACGTTGATGTCTGGTGATTTTCAACATTTTTATAAAGTTAACAGAACGTACCTCGACGGCAATCCTCTAACCATGATCGAGGTAAGATGCTCAAGATATTTTGTAACTTATATAACTCTAGACAGAAATTAGAGTGCAACGTTTCTCGAACAATTCAACAGTAACTGATGAATATTTTAGACAGATTTCCTTCAGATGCAAACGTTGAAACTTTTAGCCATTTTCTAAATCTAAATTGTCTCATGGAAAAGAAGATACGATAAAATAAGAGGCTATGTTCTTATTGTAGTTAACGTTCAATTCTTCGGATAACGCTGTGTGGGTTTCAGGAGGGTACATTCAGGGATTCGAGGATACGCGAGCTTTATTTCAGCGATTGCGATCTAATGGATGTCAATTCCCCTAATTTCGCTGGCCTGGAGTCGTCCTTGGAATTGCTGGATCTCTCAGGGAATAACATTACTTCTCTACCAAGTCCCATCTTCCAAGAGTACGATTTCTTGCGGACATTGATCTTCCGCGAGAACAAGATCCAAACGTTTTCGCCAGGTAAAGTGATCCAAGAACATAACATAATTACTCAAACTGTTTCTCTAGTTAATTAAATTAAGCTTAAGTGCTTAATTTCTTTTTTTTTTTTTTTATTTACTAAATGCCTAAGTGTTCAATTTTTTTTTTTATTACGTTGTTTAAATGCGAGTTGATTTAATCGAAAGTCACCTTGTCCACGTGTCATTAGCCGAGGTGTTCAATGGTTTCCAATACTCTCTATACAATCTGGACTTAAGCGGCAAAGAAAACAGCGTGGTGTCGCTCCAGGATTTACGGCAAATGCGAAACATGCGATTCCTTTCGATCTCGCGGATGCCACAGTCCACGTTGTCGCCGGACGACTTCATGGAATACGGGATGGACATCAAGGAACTTCGTATAGTCAAGAGCAATTTGAACACCATCAAGAGTCACGCTTTCATGCACGTTCGCGGGATCAAGTACCTGGATTTCTCGGAGAATGCCATCTCCTCCATAGAAGACGAAGCTTTCTCCGAGGTAATTTTTAACGTTAAATTATTTTCACATCCTTAATACCAAGTCGTGGAGTAAAATAATAAAGTAATTAATTTAAGATTCTTAAATACTGACAAGTATTGGCATCTTTTTGGAGTAGATTTATGAAAAATGAGACTGCCCTCTAAACTTTTTCTTCGTTCTATCCGTATTTCGTTACATAGATGAGCAATTTGTCAACCGAGCAACCATACAAAATCGTAATACGTTTGATCAATGAAAATCAGTAATTTACCTTAATAGTTAATTAAACTAGATTCGAACCACAGAGGCCTTGATGGCCGCAGATAATTCCAATAAAACAGGCTTCCGATGAAAAGAATCATCCTTGCAACGAGTACTTGACCTATTCACTAACATATTTATCTGTTAAGTCTATCCAGAGAAATTCACAGAAAAAAAAAAGTTTCTGCCAAGGTCACGCTCACTTGTTCGAATAAACGAATGTTTTATTAATATAAAATCACGTCTTCTTTTCCAGGTTGGACACTCGCTGTTAATATTGAGAATGTCTCACGGCCTTTCTTCTTCCGTTTCTGAAATCCCCAGCGGCCCGTTCAAGTTTCTGACGAACTTGCAACACCTCGACTTTAGCAACAATAAGATCAAGTCGCTACCAGACACGGCTTTTCACTTTTTGAAGAGGATCAGACGAATGGAGCTGCAGGACAATGAGATCGACAACATCAGGAAAGGAACGTTCCAGGTGTGAATTATTTACAGCTCTTCTAACTTTTTTTTTACTTCGCAATTTAAGAGCTGTTTCGCTTAACTTGCCATAGATCTATTCTTTATCTATCGTATTAATTCAGGGTGACATACATTCGTACTTGGAGGAGGTGAATTTCTCGTTCAATATGATCACAACGATTCAAACTCACACGTTCGTCGACCTGCCAAAATTAACGATGATAAATTTGGAAGACAACGCCATAAATAGAATCGAGAGGCGGGCATTCATGAACATGAAACAGTTGCAGTATATTAACCTGAGGGGTAACAAGATAACGGATATCAC